ATAAAATCAAGGCCCAGTTTGATGTCTGGATCTCTCTGTGGCCTCAGCCAGGCACAGGAAGATCCACCTACACCAGTAATAGCGAACCTGTGACACGCGTGTTAGAGTGACACGTGAACTCATTTTTTGGTTGATTTTTAGCACCAGAGTTAAGTTAGGGTGGTTTTTTTGTTTTGTTTTTTTGGGGTTTTTTAAATATATTTTATTGATTCTTTACAGAGAGAAAGGGAGAGGGATAGAGAGTTAGAAACATCGATCAGCTGCCTCCTACACAGCCACTACTGGGTATATGCCTGCAACCAAAGTACATGACCTTGACCGGAATCGAACCTGGGACCCTTGAGTCCACAGGCCAACGCTCTATCCGCTGAGCCAAACGGATTAGGGCAAGTTAGGGTTTTTCAAAATGCTGACACGCCGAGCTCAAAAGGTTTGCCATCACTGCTATAGTGCATTATCAATCACCCAGAAGCATCATTTCCTTTAACTAATCAGAAGTCATTCCCACACCTTTATTGAAGAGTTTCATATTTTTCTCTTTCACTTGTATTCTCATACTTGCATATCAAATGATATAAGTCCCCAAATCACAAAGCACGCAATGTGTATAAGGGAGGCAGGTATAAAATTTTAGCATATCTATAGAGAAGGGAGTAGATTAACCAGCATTACTGACTATTATAGAAGAGATAGTACATAGTAAACATTTTGTTCTGTGTGTTTGTGTGTATGGTTTAACCCAATAAAACCTTATTTCCTGCTTTTGTCAAGGGCCAATGGAGGTCAGCCGGGTGGCTCACCGCCTGTGGCCAGCCATTCAGAGACCCCAGCTCCCTCCCATTTTCAATGTATGGCTTTAAGGACTCTTTCACTAGTAAGAGAGATCTGGCTGGTGGCTAGAGAGAGAGAGAGAGAGAGAGAGAGAGAGAGAGAGAGAGAACGGCACCAATGTTTTTAACCACCTTGGCCTGGAGATAAAACCCATCACTTCCATTCATATTCCATTGATGAGAATTAGCTATGTGGCTCCATCTAGATGTAAGGGGAATGGAAAATGTAGATTAGCTTTGTACTCAAGTAGATAAGTTTGAGAGCAGCTAGCTCATCTGCCACAGTCTCATTTGCAAAATGGGAGTAATCGCTTCTGCCCCATAAAATTGTGAGAGAAAATTTAGATAATTCATCAAAGTGCTTACACAGCACAGTGCCTCCTGAGGCATAGCAAGTGGTTCAATAAACAGCAAATATTTTTGACATTCCTAAACAAATTTTTGATTAGAACTAATACCTTTGTGGCATTCTATTCCTTCAAATCTATAATAGCTTCTCATTTTTTTGAATAAAAAATTATTTACAAAGCCCTCTATCATCTGGCCCCTGCCTACATTCCCAGTCTCTACTCTTCATTCCTCCTTCAGCTATATAACTCCAGTTTCTTTATATTGGCCTTCTTCTGGTTCTCAGACCAACCTTTACCACCACTGGGTCTGCAGTTCCCTCTGCTTGGAAAGCTTGTACCCCAGCTCTTTATGTGGCTGGTTCATGCTCATCTTTCAGGTCTCAGCTCAGATATATCACCTCCTCAGAGAGGTCTGTCCTGACCATCCTACCTAAAGTAGCTTCCTCCAGCTATTTCCTATCTCATCCTCCCCCCATTTTTGTATCATAATCTGTCTTACTCATCTTTGTTTACTTGTTTATTATCTGTCTGTTCCATCAGACCTGTTGGCTGCTTGAGGCCAGAGGCTTGCTTTGTTGATAACTTTATCCTCTGTCCAACTGGCAGTGGTTCTCAACCTTCCTAATGCTGCGACCCTTTAATGCAGTTCCTCATGTTGTGGTGACCCCCAACCATAAAATTATTTTCATTGCTACTTCATAACTGTAATTTCGCTACTGTTATGAATTGTAACATAAATATCTGATAATGCAGGATGTATTTTCAGGGGTCGCGATCCACAGGTTGAGACCCGCTGATAGAGCTAAGCAAAATATCTAGTAGGTATGAAATAATTGGTGACCAACTGAATGAAGGAATGAACTAACTGAAGACAAATAGATCTTCTCAGCTGGGTCTTTCATCTTAGCCTATCAACATGTCCACATTTTCCTATCATTATTTCTGTGCAACGTCCAGGCAGTGGCTCTAACTCTGTCTAGCCTTCCCTCTCAGCCAAGCTTCCTGAAAGCACAGTCTATACCCAAGGCCATTTCCCTTTACTCCTGAACATATACTCTCCTCCAGCTTCTGCCCCGACCATCCCACAGAAGCTATTCTTGTTTGAGGCCTTCTACTTACCAAATCCAACGCCTGCATCCTAGCCCCCACTCCACTTGTCTACTTGACACTGTTGAGTACTCCTCTCTTCCTGACACTCTTCTGCTTTGATTGCACACTCCTGTAGATACCTGTGTATAGTAGTGGTTATCAAACTGAGGGTAGTCTTGCTCCCACTGCCTGGGGTGGGGGGTATTTAGCAATGTCTGGAGATATTTCTGGTTGTCAAAACTGAGAGGAAGGCTGCTAATGGCATCTAGTGGATAGAAGCCAGGGATGCTGCTAAACATCCTATAATGCAAAGGACAGCTTCCCATACCTCCAGGAAAGAATTATCTGGCACAGTGGATAGAGCATCCGCCTGCGGACTGAAAGGTCCAGGTTCCATTCTGGTCAAGGGCACATGCCTGGGTTGCAGGCTCAATCCCCAATAGAGGACGTACAGGAGACAGCTGATCAATGATTCTATCTCATCATTGATGCTTCTATCTCTCTCTCCCTCTCCCTTCCTCTCTGAAATCAATAAAAATATATTTAAAAAAAGAATTATCTGGCCCAAAATGTCAATAGTGCAAAGGCTGAGAAATCCTAATGCACAGAGTGTCCTGTAGACACTTCATGCACAACATGGACATGTTTAAATTATTACCGCCCCCTTACTCACTTATTTGTTATTCCTAATCTGATTAATAGCACTTAGTTTTATAAATCAGTATCTTGGGAATCATGTTTTATTTACATTCTCTCTCTCCTTAGGCTCATCTATTAGTCCAGTGGTTCTCAACCTGTGGGTTGCGACCCCTTTGGCGGTCGAACGACCCTTTCACAGGGGTTGCCTAAGACCATCCTGCATATCAGATATTTACATTACGATTCATAATAGTAGCAACATTACAGTTATGAAGTAGCAACGAAAATAATTTTATGGTTGGGTCACAACATGAGGAACTGTATTTAAAGGGCCAGAAGGTTGAGAACCACTGTATTAGTCACTAATTCCCTTTTGATGCTATCTCCTAAATGTCTGTAATCCTTTCTCTTCCCTCAGTTATCACTGCCTTTGTATGAGTATAGACATCATTTAGTTTGTAAGTCTCCTAAACTGACTCCCTGTTTGAGTTGTATAAATGCCTCTAACTCATTCTCCTTAAATAGTCTTTCTAAAATGGAAGGCCAATCACGTTTCTCCCACTGCCTGTAAGTTAAAGGCTGAGCTTCTAGGTCTGGCTTCAGATGTTTACCATGTATTTTATTATCTACAAATCCTTGTCCTATTGTTTTTCTTCCTAATCTCCTTTTCTCCTAATAAAAACATAAGAAAACAAAATCAAAATCTTGATGTTTTACACTTCGGTGTATTGGACATGATGTTCCCCCTTTTTGAAATGCCCTCTGTACCACTACCCCCCAAAGCCCCCCTGAAAATTTCCTCCATACTTTCTTGGGGCATTCATTATATACACCCCATCCAATCTCAGGTATAAAATTCCAGTTCAAAAATTGAAGTGCAACAAAGCAATATAATTTTATTTCACCTAGATTTTTAAAATTTGGATTTTCAGTCTATGAGTTGGGGAATACCAATAAGTTCATGATGCTCTCCTCTTGCCCCTGGGCTGTGGTTAAATTCTGGGGGAGCCTTCACAGTACCTAAATTTTGGAGATGTAGGCACCCGCTTCTCATACCTTCAGATTTTGGGGTTCTCTTCTAAGTATTTGTCTTGCTTGTAGATATATGATTTTGCTTTTTATGGGGGCCACGCTGGAGCTTGAGAATCTTTCTACGGCTTCCCTTACCACAGAATTATTCTCTCTCTGGCATCTTGCGACCTACCCCAGATGACCTGGCATGCAGATACAAGGTCCTTACATAGAGCCAGGGTTATTCCCTTTCTTTTACTTTTGTTAATATTTTACTTCTAAAATATTTCCTGTCTTGTGAAATTTTTGCCTCAGAGGCATTTAATACATTTACTTAACGGGTTGAGACTTTTAGTGGACTTAAGTGACATACTAGTAAAAGCTAAAGACTTTCTTTTTTTTAATATATTTTATTGAGTTTTTACAGAGAGGAAAGGAGAGAAATAGAGTTAGAAACATCAACCAGCTGCCTCCTGCACACTCCCCACTGGGGATGTGCCCACAACCAAGGTACATGCCCTTGACCGGAATCGAACCTGGGACCTTTCAGTCCGCAGGCCGACGCTCTATCCACTGAGCCAAACCGGTTTCGGCAAAGCTAAACACTTTCAAATTCTTTCAGCTAAGATCTTTCCCATCCCTACCCTTAAGGGAGGGTAGAAAATGGCCAGTAGCTCCTAAATCTAATAGCTCATGGGATGCACCCGAGGGAGCTTTGTAAGTTGAAGATGTTCCCACCCCTAACTCTGCATAATCAACATTTGTTTTTTAAAACGATCACATAATCAACATTTGTTTTTTAAATCGTTTGTTTTAAAAAACGATTTGTTTTTTAAAAGGAAAGTAAGCTCGAATATTCGAATCTCTCACTGGTGGGCCTGGGCAGGACTCGCTGTCTCCAACATGTTTTTTCACTAGAATGCCGGCCTCCTTCCTCACTGGCCGCAGCGCGGCGTTCCCCTTCCCGCAGGGTTCCTCTTTTCCTAGTTCTCCCTTTCCCGCCGCGCTCCTCCTCCCAGCCCCGCCCCTCTCACTCCTCTCGGAATTGTTCCCAGTGCACAATTATCCCTCCACCTCCCAGCAGCTCCCCTGCGCTCCTGGCCTCCTCCCCTTCCCTGCCCTCTCGTGGGTCCCGCACTGCCCTCCCCTCTGCATTTCTCCTCAGGGTCCTGAGGACCTGCACCCCTCTGCTTCCGTCGTCGTAGTGGTTACGTCTTCTCTGCGCCGGAAGGAGAACCGCGAACACTTTTGGAATTATGGCGGCGGTGGATATCCGAGGTAACCCGTGCTGTCAGCCTTAGTTTCTTGCTGGTCGGGTCTGGTTTGGGGCTCTCTAGGTCGCGGGGCAGGGGTCAGGCTCCTTTGTGATGTCTCCCAGCTCTTTCTGTGGACGACTCCAAGCCTCACTGGCGAAACGTAGCCTGGTTTTCCCCGCTTCGCGGTGTCTCTTAGAAGCGTGGAAGCCAAGGGCTTGGGAAGGTTGGGCTTTGAGCCCCCAGACCGCAGTGCTGTTTCACACGCATGTTTCTGCGGTGAACGTCGGGGCTGCCGGGTGAAGGGATGGCCGGTGGGCAGGGTAGGAGCTGGGGTGACGGGCCGGCGGGACTGGGTCCACCCCTGGGGACTTGGCGTCGCGGCTGCTTTCTTTCTGACATCGTGCCCCTGGCGCCCCTGAGCTTGAACCCCGAAGATTTTCTTCTCTAAGTTTTATGTTTGAGTCTGCAATATCTCCCGTCGAACACCCAGCAGTTACGGAAGGGTCGTGTCTTTTTTACCGCTGAACTGCCAAGGCACTCAAATATTTGTCGACCGGTGAATAGATAGATGGAGGCGCATTCCCCTGTCGCTGCGCGATCTTGGGAGGCATGAAGCTATACATGCATCCTCTTCTCTGCCCACCTCCACACCCCGTTTCAGTGAATTTGAAAACCGAACCGAACCGAACCAAACAAAAAAAGCCTAGAAATTGTGCTCTGGTATTCCCGGGAGGGAACCAGCCGGAAGGGCGATTGAAGAACAGCTGAGCGTGGGAGCCTGGTTCCCAACAGGCCGGGTTCCCCCAGGCCGGGAGGAGGGATCCTGGAAGCTCCCAGAAAAACTCGGCGCGGAGCGCCCGCCATGATCGTTACCTTTTCGTGCGGCGCTGTCTCCCACAACACTTCCGCGCTTGCAGGAAACGCTCAAGGTGGATGTGTTCCCGCTCGAAACGTTGTGGTCTTTTTTCTTAAAGGAAGTGTGAGTTTTTGTACCTGGGTGCAAGCTGAGATTCAACCCTTCCCCACCCGCCCCCCCACCCCCCAATCAGGTGAAAGAAAAAGGGCTTTCCTCAAATAATGTTTTAACTATCGCCCTGGCCGGTGTGGTTCAGTGGTTGGAGTATCCGCCGGTGCACGGAAGGGGCGTGGGATTGGGGGCGGTGGGGGAAGCAGCCAAAATTGATGTCTCTCTCTCACATTGATGTCCCCCCCCCCCCCCCTCTCTCTCTCTCTCTATCTCTCTCTCTCCCCCACCCCACTCTCTCTTTTCCTCTCTCTCTAAAGAAACCACTCAAGATGCTTAACTGCAAGATGCTTCAAATCATTTCCATGTAGGTTGTTTTCGTAGATACTTGATTTTTATAGATTTGAGAGAGAGAGAAGAGAGATCGAGATTTGTTGTGCTACTTATTTACACATTCATTGGTTGATTCTTGTATGTGCCCTGACCAGTGGTCTAATGTGCAACCTTAGTGTATGGGGACAACACTCTAATCAACTGAGCCACCTGGCCAGGGCTATATATACTTGATTTTTAAAGGGAAATGTTTGAGATTCCTTTTTCTATATTAACCAAAGTGGATGGAGTCTAGCATGCTTATTACAAATATATTCTCATTTTATAGTTATTCAAAATGTCCAGGGATCTTCAGCATTTCTGAAAAATACTTTTACGTATTCGTCTTTCATATAAGTTAGGCACTTTCAGTGCCTAATTTTATCACTTGCCGATTGTTAGAGAGCTGTTTGGGGGCCATTGTCGCCATGCACCCTTGCTACTAAATAAAAAAAAGGACACATTTAGTTCAGACTGTTTTCAGATATTTAGCTTTCATACTGTTTTACTTTTTATTTGGGTTTGTTAGAGTCTTTGCAAAGGCTCTGACGTGGGAGCATGCCTGGTGTGTTAGAGGACCAGCATAGAGGCAGGTATGGCTGAAAGAGAATGAGCAAGGAGGCGGGAAGAGATGAGGCCAGAGAGATAATTGGAGGATTGCTCCTTATCTTCCTATGCATTGCCATTGCCTTCCACTAGGTTCTCATCACCTCATGCCCATATATATTGACTGTCCATAATTGTTGGTAGGTGGGATCGTCACTAAACATTCATTTGTTTCTATAGAGTATTTTCTTTCTGGAAATGATCTGTAATATTTTAACAATGTATTGTCAGTGTGTACTTATTATGACACCACATATATGTAATTTCCCCTATGTAAGTGATAAAGAAACCTCTAACATTTTCTTCTACAAATGCCCTTGACCAGAATCAAACCTGGGCCAACACTCTTAGTTGTTTTTCATTAGGAAATCTTTCTTTTTATTTTTTGGCTAGTTATATATTTGGTTATGGCATGATCCATTTATGATGAACCATCTTAATAGTCTCTACTGATTGTTTGATCATCAACATACTTCATCTACTTATTTCCTTGGTTTTATAATGCACACAGCACATTTTACCTTTATACACTTACTTTTTCTCACTTGATTCGTTTTGCTTGGAACTGCTTGTCACCTTGGGTTAGGTCTAACTTCTTCAAAGATGTCAGAAGCAATTGCAGTATAGGAGAGGTTGAGGTTTTAATAGTTCCTTCTTCAATATTTATAGGCATTTTGATGTTCTTGACTCACACCTATTGGGATTTATTTAGTGGTGTGAAACATCATTGCAGCCAGTAGCTAATAAAACTCATTAATTAAAGGTGTCTAGCTCTATTTTACCATGTCTTTTTTTTCTGTGTGC